TAACGAAAACGGAGTTCGATTTTGCCAATATGTACAGTGCTTCTTACCGGGTAGCTTAATGTGTTCTGATCAGATATTCTATCCACTGAAGGCATCTAATATTTATTGTAGTAACTATATCTTTGGATTCGTCTATTTTGTTCGATTTATTGTATCTCGAAATTATATCACCGCTTCTGTTTGTAAGCGTTCTTTCTTGGTTTATTTTCTCTTTCTTTCACTTTCATAGTCTCACATAGTGTCATAGTCTCCTCAAGAATTTCTCTCATCCGCCAAGCACGTTATCCCATATTTATCTTCGTTGATGTTATCATGAAACATTGTTCTGAGTCTTCCTTTTCTTCTCTGACCAATAGGTCTATCAAGGAGCGTTTTTTCTAGCTGGATCATTTTGTTCCATTCGCCTTTTATGCCCTACCCATATATTAATATGGTTCGAAGTTGTATCGTCTTCTTCATAGTCTATTGTCAGTCACTGCTCCATAAATTCGCTTTAGTACTTTTCTTTCGAAACATCCTAACATGTTTTCATTACTGTTTGTTAGAGTCCAGGTCTCTAAACTAGGGAGAAAATTGAATTCAATATACCATCTGTTCGCCTTGCAAATTCTGCGGTTTACCTCTGCGGTAGTATTATTTTCAATGTTAAGGAGCGCTCCCAAGTTTAAAAATCCGTTCACTGCTTCGATGACGTCGATTTCAGTAACAAGTGGTCTATAGTATTCGTGATTGCGTACTTATTAACATATACTTCGTTTTGTTGGTGTTTATTATTAAACAAATTTTTGTAGCTGATTCTTTTAATGCTATTCTTGTAATGCTTTTAATTTCTATCGTACAACGTTATTCGTTCTCCCAACAATAGTGATGTCATCAGCATAGTCAAGGATTTATAATGATTTATTATATATTGAACCAATGGTTGCGATTTATGACATACGTATTACTTTTTTCTGTGTCAGCTTGAACAGTATACAGAAGAGAGGGTCTCCCTTGCGTAGCCCGTTATTTGTTTTAAAAGGTTCAGACAGTGCCTCCTGAATTCGTACTCTACATTCAACTTTTTCAAGAGTTAGTTTTGGTTAATTTACCGATTTGGTATTCCTAGCTCTTTCATTGCTTTGAACATTTCTCTTCTATTCACTAAGTCGTAAGCTGCTTTGTAGTCTATAAATATGTGATAAGTATCAATGCCATATTCCAGTGTTTTTTCTAAAATTTGTTTTAGAGTTGCAATCTGATGAATTGTCGATTTACCACCTCTAATATCAGCCTAGTATTTTCCACTATCCTTTCTGCATATGGTGATATACGGTGACATAGTACTATGGAAAAGCTTTTATACGCTTCATTTAAAATCGTAATTCTTTTGTGGTTAGAGTATTCAAAAATATCTCCTTTTTGTGTATGTGCAAAGTATTCCAATATTCCAATCATTGGAGAAGGATTTTTGTACCCATTTTTCTTTTATAAGCTGCTGTAATGCCATTATAGTATCGTGGCCATCTTCTTTATACAATTCAGCTGGGAGATTATCTATTCCGGGTGATTTGTTTCTGACTAGTTTTTTAACTGCATCTTTAACTTTAAGAATAGTTGGTGGTTTCTCTTCCCCTTGTCTGTTTCCCCTATTTAATTTTTTCGTCTTTAACGTTTTCTTCTTTTTTTTATATAATAAGTGTCTGGTTAAAGTATTCTACTTAACTATACAAGACATCTTTCCTTGTTGTTAATAGGTTGCCATTTTGACTTCTACACTGTCTTTGGGTTGCCTTGAATTATTTTCTGATTCAAATCATAGAACAGACTTAATAAACTGCAGAAGTTATAAAGGCGCAAACATAGACTCAGATCATTTCCTAGCGATCTCTACATTGAGGACTAGAATTTCAAACTCTCTCTCTTCAATCCTGACCCCACAGGGGGAGTGTAGTGGTCGACGTGATGTCGTGTATTGTCCGTCTCCAGAGATCTCTGTCTCTGGTCATTTCTTTTAATTCATTCATAGGTCTTTTGCATATTCCTGTAATTTAATCTATCCATCTTGTTGGGGATCTTCCTCGTGATCTTCGGCCTTCTACCTTTCCTTGTATTATGAGTCTTTCCATGTTTTCTGTGTTTGCTCTCATAGCATGTCCAAAATATTTTAATTGTTGGAGATGGACTTTACTAGAGAGTCATTGGCTAACTTTTAGCTCGTTTAAAATTGAATTATTTGTTCTAAGAATTCGTAACATTAGTCTCCAACAGAACATTTCAGTGGCGTCTATCTTTCTCCTCTCCGATTGTCTCAGAGTCCAAGATTCACATCCGTAGGTCAGTTTTGGGAATATTAAGCAGTTGATCAACATCATCTTTATCGCTCTTGAAATTTGACATTCCTTCCATATTTTGGCCATTTTTGCTGTGGCAACTTTTGCCAAGAAACATATGGTGTTTGAAAAAATTTCAAACGCCATTAAAGAAAATAAAATGGATGGAAAAAATGGAATGTGCAAAAGCTAAGAGGTGCGATAACTGAAGAACGGTACTCGGAAAACATCACCAACAGGCTAAGGAATTAAAATGTAAATGAAGAATACCAGACAGATATAGACTTCTGCTAGGCCAGAATAAAGGAAGACATTGAAGCAGCAGCGAAAGATGAAATAGGAACAGAAATTTGTGCCTGTAAAAATCATTGATTTGACGATGAATGCAACAAAAGAAAAAAATGAAGTCGGCAGCTTCTGCTTATGCTATAGCCTATGCCTACCCGACGAACTAGAGCAACTGTAGAGAATTGCCAGACAAAGAGAAGGAAATAGGATACATACAAGAAAAAAAACGAAACCACTTAAAAAAGGAGTGTAAATATATAGAAAACTTCTACAGAAAGAAAGAATTCAGAGCATTCTATAAGAGAACTGTTGCACCACTTCAAAATTATAGGTACCGATCTCAAAGTTTCATTTCATGTTTCTAATTCTTTAGTATGTCCCCTGTGCCACGAACTTAGTTTTGTTTCCATTGATAATTAGATAATATCATCTGATATATTTGAGAGTCTGGCAACCATCAAATATATTTTTATGATTGCTTGATTGCTTGGTAGCAATCTATTTTACCATTTTTTACATTTAGGTCACCAATTACAATTTTAATGGTACTTCGAGGGCATGTATAATAAGATTTAAATTCTTCGTAAAATTGGCTCTTTTGTTCTTTCCTATTCTCTTCGGTTGGTGCATGTCCGTTGATTACACTCAGATTGAAGAATTTTCTCATGATTCTCAGAATACCTATTCTGTGGCTGATCTGTTTGAAATCAATGGCTAATTGCCGTGCTCTACCTTGACTACAAAAGGATTTCTCAATTTGTGTGTAGTTTTTAACAGCTGCAGTATATATCTTGGTGTCTTCTCTGTTATATTTCTTGTACTATCCACGACACTTCCCGAATGGTTTTAATATTTTCCTTGTTTTGTAGCTTAGATCGTTTCCGTAAGTTTCCTCCGGAATATTTAGCTTTACGTTTTGTAACAATATGTTTCCTTACGAGATGAAGATGGTAGCCCTATGTCCAACCCCCAACTTGGAGACCAGGGACTCTTCTGTTAGAGTTGCTATACCTTAGTCTGTTTTGGTTCACAGGTTGTATTTTATTTCCCAACTACCAGCTATTCCTAGGATGGGTTAAAATATGCCTCTATCCACCACCTAGAAATTCGTACCATGGTCATCAAACAACTCCACACGGAAATTAAGGAAATTGCAAAATATAAAATATATATTATAGTCCTGAAAGATTCAAAATAATAAGGAAGAGAAATTATTAATAATTAAAATTGAATCCTCTTCAAAATCGGAGCAAGAGACAGGTTGTTATAAACAAAATCCCTATTTATTAATGAAATGACAAGTATTAAGGTCCTTTAATCCTATGCAATATTATGTTTGCTGTGCCTAAATTGTAAAACCAGAAGCATAAGTATATCCTAGAGTGCAATATGAAAGTGGCTAAACATGAAAATTATTGAATAACTGTAGATATACATAACAAACACAATAAAATAACGAAAATGAATAGAGTTTAAAATGAAAAAAATAATGGTGGCGAAAAATATTCAATTCAAAAGGAAGGCAAATCGACATTGACATCTCCAGATGGGAAACAGTTAACTAGATAGAACATATATTTATAGAAAAAAAAAACATGGAGTAAGCGGATTGTAACTCAAATCAAATTTAATAAAAGACGCTATAAGAATACTGTGGCAAAAAAAAAAGCAATAAAGACTTAAATGTAGATGAAGGGAAACATTATAATAAAAAAACTTACGAAAAAAGAAAGAAAACTGCATATAAAGAAGAAGAGATTAAAGAAATGAGTATTCAAGATTTTAATAAATCCTGTCCAACTAGAAATTATATGACAACAGACAAAAGACATATTAGATAAGACAACCAGGAGATACTGCAAAATCATCATCGATGAAACAGAAGAATACAACATTGAAATCTTAAAAATAACAAGAAGCCTGTCCTAGAAAGCATAAAAGCTAAAGAACCTGAAGAAAATGATATACAAGGAGATACACCATATACTAAAGGACATCTGGAAATAAAAAGAGAATATTCCGTATTAACTATGGTTGTGGATAAAACAGAAAATAAACTCATATGGGGGGATGTAGATTAAACAGTAACAAAATTTTTCAACGAGTTTTTCGGGTAATACTATGCTTTTAAGTATAATTTACACACTCATCGGGATAATTGTGAGTGTACATCTCATGCTTTACTAGGTAGCTTTTTCCTCATCTTCATCAGTTTTCATATCTCTCCTTAAACTTGCCAAATCATCATTTATATTAAGTAATAGTTCTCTGTTTATGGAACAAGAATTTAATCGTAATCAAATATATCTAAAAACTTTTTAAACAGTTTCGGCGAATAATTTTAATATTTTTTTGTTTGCTTGTAGCAGAATATTCTGTAATATATTCTTTATTTTATAGGAATGATGCCCTATATAAAGCAGACAGTACAACCACCAGTAGACCACTGGTTATACCTACCACACCCGCCCCTCCAGTTCCACCTCCCCCAGTACCAGTAGCAACCGCCGCTATACCATCAGGTCCAGGGACTGGACCGCGAAGAGGTGTAGGACGTCCTTATCGAAGAAGACGTCCGTATTATGATTACTACGAAGACTACTACGATGACTTTTATTACGATGATAGGCCCAGATCTCGCGGACGAAAGAGACCTAGACCTCGACCAAGACCTCTTTATGACGATGAATACGAAGATGAATATGATGATGACAGATATGAAAGGAGAGGCAATAGTGGTCGAAGAAATGAAAACAGAAGACCGTATAATAGACGACCTAATAGAGGACGTATTAAGGAGAGGCCTAAATACGATTATGATGACGAAGAGGAAGATCGATTTGACGACGAAGAGGATGTTAATAGTAATATATAATAAAAACACATCATCAGCCGTTTTTAGCGAAAAGCTTTTTAATTTAAATTATTCATATGTAGACAATTACTGCCTTAATATGACTGTTGCGATCCATTGAAATAATTATTTAAAGTAACTAAATGTTTACAACTTTACCTTTATTTCCAGATTTTGTACTACTGACTCGTTGGACAACATAATGTACCACATTCATTGTATTGAAAGTACTATCTTGTACTTTCTGTGAAATGTTTATTGTTGAATGAAATGTTTTTGTGGCTTGTAAAATGTTAAATGTAAGTAATATTTTCGGTTTTATGTTACATTTCCTGGCTGAATCGCGCTCTTGGTATATTGTTATTAGTTAGTCGATTCTAACCATAAGCAGAAAAGGATTTCTCCTCTGCTTTTTGTGCTTATTACTATTTTATACATCTCTATAAAATCATTTGTTTTCATCTTTGTCGAAATATATATGCATATTGCCTAATATCTAACACTGTTGTTTTTGTGAGTGTTAGGGTTTCTGCGTCGTAGGTCATCACTGGCAAAATACACTGATTAAATACTTTTCTTTTTAGAAACATTGGAATCTTACACCTAAAGATATCCTTCATCTTTCCAAATGCAGCCCAAGCGAGGTTTATTCTTCTTTTCATCTCGATTGTTTGGTTGTCTCGACTTATTCTGATCTCATGGCCCAAGTATTTATAGGAGTCAACTGGCTCAATATCTTTGTCTTCTACTGAGATGTTTTTGTTGTGGACTAAATTTGTCATAAATTGTGTTTTTGAAAAATTTACTTTAGGACCAACTGTTTTTGTGGCAATATGGAGTTCTTGGAGCATTATCTGTGCCTGATCAAAGCTGTCTGCAATAAGAACGATATCATCTGCAAATTTAAGGTTATTTAAAAATTTTCCATCTACATTGATGCCCTTTTCGTTCCAATCTATTGTTTTACAAGCGTATTCTAGCAAAGTTGTAAATAATTTAGGAGACATGTTGTCTCCTTGTCGAACGCCTCTTTCAATAGGAAAGTCTTTTAAATATGATTTGCCAAACACTTTTTTAAAGAGTAACTAAACCGCATTTGGCACTTAGTTTATTAACAGTCTTACTTATTACAAAATGAACTTTTGCTTTTATTATAATTGGTGATAGCAATATGTAATAAACAAAATATTCATCATCATCATCATCAATCAGCCCTGAGTTGTCTATTGTTGAACATAGGCCTCCTCTAGATTTTTCCATCTGCTTCTGTTCTGCGCCTCTGCTATCCAATTGGTCATGATTCTTTTGAGTCGTTGGTCCATCGCGTTGGGGGTCTTCCTCGGCTTCGTTTGTCAGCCCGTGGTCTCCACTAAAGCAATTTTTTTGTCCTACTGTCGTCTTTCATTCTTGCAACATGTCCAGCCCATCTCCATTTTTGGCTTGTATTATGTTCGATAATGTCTTCCACTCCGGTTCGTCTACGGACTTCCTCGTTTCTTATTCTATCTCTTAAGCTTATTCCAAGCATTGATCTCTCCATCTTTCGTTGTGTCCTTTTCAATTTTTCGACTGATGTTTTTGTGAGAGTTAAGGTTTCTGCTCCGTATGTGAGGACTGGTAGAACGCACTGGTTAAAAGCTTTTCTTTTTAAATGGATCGGTACATTTGTTTTAAATACGTCTCTCATTTTTCCGAATGCAGCCCAACCCAGACTTATTCTTCTGAGAAGCTCGCATGTTTGTTTATCTCGCGTTAACCTTATCTCGTGACCCAAATACACATATTTTTCCACAAATTCTATGGGCGACTTTTCAATTTCTATTAGCTCATTGGGGACGAGGTTGGTCATCATTTTTGTTTTTCCACAATTTATCTTTAAATCGACTTTCTGGGTTACTTGCTGTAGTTGTTGTAGCATAACTCTGGCTTCTCCTAAGTTGTCTGTTATGAGAACAATATCATCGGCATATCTGAGATGATTGAATATCTTTCCATCGATGCTAATACCCTTTGATTCCCACTCCAGCCGTTTAAATGCGTACTCCATAACTGTTATAAATAGTTTTGGCGACAAGGTATCTCCCTGCCGCACCCATCTGCCAATTTTTATCTTCTCAGTCATGCAATGAAGGTTAACGGTTGTTGTCGCATTTTCGTATATATTTCGAATAATATTTGCATACCTGTGATCTATTCTGTATTCTGATAGTGCTTTTAAGATACCAACTGTTTCGACTGTGTCAAATGCTTTGTGGAAGTCTACAAAGATAAAAGCAAGGGGTCTGTTATATTCGATTGACTTTTCAACTAGAGTTTTCAGGCATTGCAAATGGTCGTTTGTTCCGTGTCCCGCTCGAAATCCTGCCTGTTCTTTTGATTGATAGAAATCGAGTTTTGCTTCTAATCTGTTTGTCAGTATTCGAGTAAAGAGCTTGTATAGGTGGTTAAGCAAACTGATTGGCCTATAGTTTTCGAGATCTAATTTATCCCTTTTTTTGTGAAGGAGGATCGTAACCGAATTCTTCCATTTACTTGGAATGTTTTCACTATGCAGACATAGATTAAAAAGTGTTTGGATTCGGGACATCAAAAGTGGACCTCCTAGTTTAACTGTCTCAATGACTACACCATCTTCCCCCGGAGCTCATTTATTTTTCATATTTTTGAGGGCATGTTGAATTTCCTCTCGTGATATATCTGGTATATCCTTCGATCCTACATTATGTACCTTTTGTATTGGTTGTTCGATGAGCTCTGGAATAACTTGACTTTTATATAATGTTTCATAGAAACTTTCCACTATATGTAATATGCTTGATCTATCTGAGATAATATTTCCATTTTTGTCTTTAAGTTGGAAGATTTCTTTTTTGCTATTATCCATTTTTCTCCTTAATACTTTCATGCTTTTGTTGTCTTCTATAGTTTTTATAGTTTTCTCGTTGTTGTATTCTCTAATATCCCGTCTGATGGCTTTAGAAATTTCTTTATTGATGCTGTTTATATCTTGTGAGTCAACATTTCTATGACTTCTCAGCATTCTACGATCTTCCATTTTTTGTTTCGTTTCTTTACTAATTTTTTGTTCTTTTCCATGTTTAGGGCCAAATTTTTCCTGAACTTGTGTTAATGTATCTACTATTTCTTCGTTTAGGTTATTTACGTCTTCTCTTGTTGTATTTCTGAGTAAGTTACTGGTGATATATTTTTCAAAGTCAAGTTCATTCGTTGGGCACATCCAAGGTTTGAATTTTTTACTTTTTATCATCTTCAGTCTTTCTTGCTTAATACTGATTTCTACAGTTGCTAGGACCATTCTATGATCGCTTGCAACCGAAAATTGATTTAAGACTGTAACATCTTTGACTATATGTTTTTTGTCAGTGATGATAAAGTCGATCTCATTTTTTGTCTTACTATCGGGGCTCTTCCAAGTCCATCTTCTATGGATCATCTTCTTATAGAAGAAGCTATTTATTAAATATAGATTGTTTTCTAATAAGAAATTTAAGAGTATTTCGCCCCTTTCATTTCTACCTGACGTGCCAAAATTTCCGAGGGCATTTTCAGCTGAGTCAGTGCTTATTCCTATTTTGGCATTAAAGTCGCCACATATTACCGTAAAATGTTCTTGGTCTTCTGAAATAGCTGTGTACAAGTCATCATAGAACTGTTCTATTTCTTCGTCAGCGTGACTCGATGTTGGTGCGTAGACTTGAATGATCTTTATGGAGTAACGGGTGTTTAGTTGTAATTTTGCAAGTATAACTCTTGTGGAAACTGCTTTTACTAATATGATATTCTCAGCTAGTTTTTTATTAATAAAGAGCCCAATGCCTCCATTCCCATCGTTTCCCATGATAGAAAATATGACCAGATTTTAAAGTGGTTAGGCTTTCTCCTTTCCTTCTGACCTCAGCGACTCCAACAATGTCCCAATTGATTTTATCAAGTTCAGATTCCATTTCTATGAATTTTTCTTCTGATGGCAGGGTTCTTGCATTGAAAGTTGCAATTTTTAGAGATATATATCTGTTAGATGGTTTTCTAAAATAAAACAAAATATACAAAAGATTAAACGTATTTTTTTTACACATAAACAATATATAACCAATGTAAGATCGCTATTTGATTTTAAATACTTACTAAAGGTGAAGACCAGTAAATTATATGGAAAAGTGATACAATTTTAATGAAAAAGCATAGAAAATCCTTTAATGTGAGAGTTTGTAAAGTTAATTTTCTTAATTTGTTGCCTATTATATAGCGTAAAAGCTGTTTAAAAATTATAAATCTTTTCTAAATGTGCATAAAAAAACTTTAAATTTACGTGATAATAGGGACAATATCACATATATTTAGCTAACCAAATTTCAAGAAGTTTCAATTAACACTGCAAAATTGATATTGTTTATCCCAGAAAGCTTTTATTTACAACAATATTACGCATAAATTATTAGGTCTACATATATTCTGAAAACACAAAATTGAAGAAGAAGGGTCATTTTATCAAATTAAATCATTTAATAATTTAAAAAAATATTTTAAATATTATAAAATAGGTTTACAAAAGCACATAGATTTTAAATGATTTAAAATATCTGAGGAGCGTCAACATATAGGAGATTAATTTTTTTATACGAAATGTTGGCAGTTGGCAAATGTGGCAAGTTAGCCGGTTATGTATGCATGTAAAACTTGGACAATGAATCAAAAGAGTTAGGAATTTGGGAGAAAAATCATGAGAAAAGTTTTTGGTGGGAATGGCGCAGAAGAGCAAACCAGGAGCTCATGGAGATCTATAAGAGACCCAAAATAATGCAGAAAATTAGAACACAGAGAGTTAGATGGTTGGGACATATTTACGAATGCCAAAAGAAGGAAACGTCCTAAGAGTCCTACAAGGAGAACAAAGGATGAAAAAAGAGGGAGACCACGAAAGAGGCTCAAAAGTACAAGTGAAGAACCGTAAAAAGTGAGAAAACTAGTCTCTAGGGGTTCAAAACAAAAGCCTATAGGGC